TCGGTGGGTGAGGTATCTACTGGATATTTATAAGGGGGCTAAAGGTTAAATGTAAAGTGCAATTATTTTAAAGGATTTTGTCGCCTTGTCTAATGGCAGTTTCGTGAAAGTGAATCGATCGATATAAGTCAATAATGGTGTATCGATTATCGAGGCTGAGTTAAAAAAAAACTGTATAAATTGTCGAGAAAAGTTTAATAACTCAACTCGGCTTTTACAGTTTTTGGACTTTTTTTTGGGTTTTTACTCGACCTAAGAATAGTTGCTGGTACGTATGACGGTTCAGGGGATTGCGAAGAGTCAGAATGCATTTTTAAAGTAGCAGTCTCCAACTACACCCTCTTGAAATTACACGTGAATCTCAAAATTCACTCTTGTCGTCTCACGGCGGTACGTAGCACGTACAAAAAATTCATCCAATTTAGCCCAACTTTTCCTACAGCCATCAAAATCTTTTATTCTCGGATTGTAATTTCGTTAAAATTGTTGCAGCGTGAAAATAGTGACTATCTCTTTTGGCCATTTTGCCATTTATCGTGTTTTGCAGATACGCAGCTTGTCGTAGGTATTAGTTACTTCATGTGATAACTTAAAAAAATATTTTTTCTTGATTCTTTCATTTTTCGAATAATTATCTCTTCGATAAATTGCTCGACTGTTTATCTCTACTTTATGTTACATTCCTTTGAATCATTCTCTGGCACTCCGATAACAGATTAATAGCTAAGCACTCGTGAATTCAAATAAAGTCTAACCTCTTCCTCGTCATTCATAGCGTTTTCCATTTTCCGCAGTCTTGAAAGAACGCTGCTACTTTACGTTAGCAGCCACAAAGCTGATTCGAATGTGCATCTTTACTAGATATACTGCAGCACTGCTGCACTATCCTGGTACGAAGTATCTCTACTGCTTCTGAAGTATCACCTTTCCCACCGTTTTTCTTCAAGGAATAAGTTGGCTGCTTTCAAGACGGTTATAGAGTATACTGTAATACATATGACGTGCTGTATCAAAGTTCGATATGGTAAACTGGGCTGTAGAAGATGCTGCTACTCAATGCTACCAAACGATAGTTTGTAAAATGAGAAATGAAACGTGTATTCCACGCTCAAGTTCAATATTATGCAGTATAAACGAATTAGTCAAATTGATAGTCAGATTGATTTCTTTTTCATCAAAATTTTAATAAGACACCGACTAATTTACATTTTTTCTACATTCATCAACGCTGGGAACAAATTAATTATCCACAGGGCTAACAACTTGGGAGCATCATCATGGCAGCAGAGTCACTGTTCAGTAAAGCTGAGGCTTGACATAATTGTTGTTACCCATTTGCAGTTTGAGAGGATTATGCTGTATAATTCGTACTGGAATTGTTGAAGCTCGCACGTGAATGGGCCTCAAGGGTGTCAAAAGGAAAGCAGATAAATGAAGGAGAAACTGCCACATGGCAAAGCGAGTATGTGAAAATTATACGATATTGACGTCACCTCTCATATCTAAAAATACAACCGATATATTTTTGATATTCATATTTTAGGAAAAATAATATTTGAATACAGCAACATTATATGCACTTTTATAGGAATTACTTTTTTTTTTTACATCACGTTATATACTTTATCCACGATCAACACCATACGGTATTTCAAAAGAAACCCAAAAAAAGGTAGTATGAAATAGAGTAGGGTCAAGTCCCTGCTATAGCCGAAACCCCTACAACATAAATCCCGAGGGATTCGTCCGACCGGACTTTTTACATAACCTCCCCGACGAAATAGGGATGTTACGTTTTATTTTATTACGACCATGCTAAACTGGGGATGACACTGTCCTCTATTTTGTTTATAACACAAGCAACATCGGGTCATCCATAGCGGGCAGTTGCCCGGTAACTTATGGCAACCGGAGAACATGACATTTTTGGCCGAGAGTTCACGCGTCAGTTTTCCCCTTTACCACTTACTTTAATTGCATAATCCGATCAGTCTGGATAAGAAGATTAATCGAACTTGGCAGGAGAATATTTAAAGTTGATAATTCCGTTCGACCGGAATAAACAGCCTGAAGGTTTTTGTGCGTTCGAACTTGGACAGAAAGCAATTTAGTTTTCTTTCCTTCGTACTTCATTCTTTACGCTAATGACTTTCACCTGGTATAGGCTTTCTTTCGAAATGAACTGACATTTTATTTTCCTCTCTGGTACTTTTTACTTCCAGCCTGGAACGATACTCGATTGCCTTTTTTTTTACTTGATATCAATATTAGGGCTGATATTGAAAATATTTTTCACCAATTAACGCCTTCGAGGGGAAAATATTGGGCGTACCGGAAAAATCCTTTTTTACGTAATATCAATCGATCCTCACCTTTTCTCCTACGTTATACGATATCGTGATGTGTCGAAATCTGCAAATCGTATTCTATTAATAGTTTATACATAACCTTATCGATCGATCCTGACACAACTGACGAGTTCAATAGTCACTGTAGAATGTTTATGTAGTACGACAAATTACACATGATTAATATATATTTTAATTTTCTAATTTCATCCTTCACCAAAGCTTCTGTTGAATTTGTTATATTGTAAGCGTCATCGATTAATCGTCGATTTGATTAAATACTGGTCGATTAAAATACTGGTGAATTATAGACGATTTGTAAACGTAAATGTTAACGAACCATAGTCAGGGTTTATTCGGAACCAGGGAAAATTTATATGGTCCCAATGGGTTTTTACCTTGTCAAAAGAAAAATATTGACGAAATCGAAGAAGACAGAGGAATTCGATGAGACTCCAGTTTAATATTCATGATGATTGGAATTTTGATGAAGCCGAATAAAAAACTCTGATTCTCCCATATTCAGCTATCATATACAATTAGCTTTATTTATTTGTAACGTCTATGGACCTACTTCTCGTTTATTTACTTTATCTAACTGTACAACAGCCTGTGTGCAACAATGAAAATGCGCTGGTCGTTACCTAAAATATAACACGTTACGAATGGTCATTCATCGAATAGTATACAGGATCGCGTAGAGCCTTCAATTTTGTAAATACAGCCGCACACGATAGTCACACATGGGTGTTAATTAAAAAATCAATAGATTAAAATTCATTGCGTTACCAGAGAATCGTTATAATTTGTTCGTGCTACTCTCTCACTTGAAATAAAAGCAAACGAAAAATCGCAATCCGTGAATTCAAATTGATTTTCACAGTATCGGAACGAGAATAGGAGAAACCGAGTTTCTAACAAACGAAATCGGAACCTTTCAATATAAAAACAAACTGAATACGGATACAAAGGAAAATATATTATTTTGAGTAAAAGTAACGATCGTCCAAAGCTCAATGAAATCCAATCTCATGTAATACAATCATATATATATGTATATTATATACCCAATAGCCCTCACTAAAACTAAATTAAACTAAATTCTCTGACAGATTTACACAAACCGTTCTACGAACTTTCGAATCTTCTCGATTACTTGCCAGAATCCAGACGATTGATTTCCTCAAAAAGTTCCCGTGTTTCATGAATCTGACTTTGGCGAATTTCCATAAAAGCGACTTTGGTCATTCCACGTACTTTTTTTTTTTTCACTGGAAGACGACTCGACGAAAGTGATACTCGAGAAAGTTTTCCTAGTTCGAGTTGCTGGTACACTGGTATCGTCACTTAAGTATCTAGATACTTACTGGATAACCACTACTACTGATATCAACTCATAAAGTCACCGTGTGTAGTAGAATTTCACTTAGTATTGGGTGACAACCAGATACTTTGCTTCCCAAAACTTTCCGCGCACATCTAAGAGAGGCAGACTGGCAGAAGCTTCTAGAACATTCGAATCTTTGCTATACTTTGACTCCACACAATATTATATGCCTACCCACGCTACAGCTTCTGTAATATACTATCAGCATTCTATCGACAACCATGTTTAACAAGCTACGACACATTGGCGAACTTTCCTTCAGATATTTCGCACGGTAGATATAACGTAACGCGCTCAACGGTTTTCGGTACATTCGCAGCGAGGAACACTTGGCTGATCACATTCAATGCTGATGTCTATATAACTAAAGGGTTAAGCTTCGTTTAACATCTTGATTATACGGGATCGTAAATGAAGATACTATTCGGTTAGCCAAGTCTATCGTGAGGTATAAGTTTAACATGACATTTGCTCAAATTCATTTTTGATTTTCTAAGGAGATTAAATATAGAGTTGAAGATCAAATTGGATTTTATGATCTGGAGGGAGAAAAATGGTTGAGGTGGTATTTTGGTGATTTTTTTTTAAGTAATTTTTGTGAAATTAAATTTTGGGGTCTTCGTCGCCATCAATAGTATGGCGTCGGGATGATTTGCTTTGATGGAAGCATTAAAACTCTGGATTACGGATGTGACACAGTGATAAACCTTAACCGCTTTTCAGGACGTTGACGAAGCTTCTTTGTAAATGTATCTATAGGTGGAACCGAGCGCGATTAATTATTAGCATCGGCGTTCGGGGAGCGTAGCTGGATTTCAGGCTAGACGTTATTCAGGATGATTCATTAAGGTTCCTGTAAATCGTGATAAGTAATAAGCCACTTTCTATGGGCTGTGAGAGAGAGAGATAAGGGTATGAATTAAGGGTGAAATCGATATTCTTTGAAAGGAATCGTTTGTGTGATCATCTTTTTTTTTAATTTCCAGTACTATTGGTAATTTGAATATTCATTTTACTCCCTGCTTGTAGAAATTTGCGTGATAGCCGAGAGACATTGCAGTACCGACGTGACGACGAGATAAATGAAATTTCTTATGTATGCCTTCCGACGGAAGTGAAAAATAATTTTTTTATTTCCCCAATTTTTCACTGTTCAACCTTCATTTGTATTTTTAACTTTTCTGGGTTGGTATTAACGGGCTGACGAGACCGATGGGGCCGATGGACCAACGTCCGAGTTCAGTACGAGATGAAAGTTTACTTACTCGACTTTTAAAAGTTCAATATTCCCACGCTGGTTCGAACTGCAGTTGAAAGCTGTGTTTTCCCTAGTCTGAGAGCAGTTTCTCTGCTCTTTTATAACGTTTCCGGTTAGGCGGTTAAAAGCTCGTTTCAACTTCCGATTTTCGAGTTAGTTCTACCGGCTCTTCAATGGCTTTGGGATTTATCATTTGGTCCATTGACGGAGGCTTGGAAAAATTCTTTTGAAAATATTTTTTCTTCTCTTTGCTCTGTTAGAAAAAAATTTTTTATTTTTACCTCTCTTCAATTCTTCTCGGTTCACGAGTCACTTGAAGGATTCGTCGGGAAACTGCTTCCCACCCATTGCGGCCTGGTTCTTCGATCTTTTCCAAACTTTTAAAGTCTGAGCACGACGTTTCTTCTTGCACGGAATTTTAAAAGCATCCAAGATCCTTCGCGTGCTTAGGAGAGATATACTTTTTTCACGGTAAGGTGTCCATCTTGCATTGCACGTTCGTTCTTCATCGATCCCAATGCACGATATTTTTATCTTGTATTTTTTTATAAAATCCAAATCTCCATCAGCACCATTTTTATCCACTTTCCGAAACGTCCAACTGACTTTTCACTTACCACTTAATTTATCTCACGGAATCCTCTCGCATGCGAACGTAACGCCCGGAACACGTCCCGTTTGCGAATTTTCGCACAATCTTGAAAGTCCGACTGGCACCTGTCATTCTCCTAGAATCACCCACTGTACATAACGCGATATCATTATCATTTGGCAAAACAACATTTTAACAAATTTTACTCTCTACCGTATTACCGGTTCGCTATACAAAATTATACCAAACTTTATCAACAATATAAAATCCTTAATAGACAACATTAATAAATTTAATTTAATACGCGTAACTTCACGCCTGTCCAAAGCGAAAAGCTAAATGAATATAATTAAGATTTTCGTTTTTCCTAAAGACGACCAAATGCACCACGTTGTCGACATGGTAAAAGTCTCGTTCCTCGGACGTGGACCGATCTTGTGTCAGGCAGCGCACTTCGCAAGGGGCGCGGCGTAACTGAGCACGGAGAACCAACCCCTGTGCCGTCTCTCGGCGGTCGCTATTCCTACCCCCCCTGACCTCCTGCTTCACTCCCTCGCTCACACCCTCGGCAGATCCGTAGGATATTCGCAACCGTGAAGCGTTAGCTTCTAACGAGAAAGAGTGAGAGAGAGAGAGAGGGCGAGATAAAGAAACGAAAGAGAGCTCACGAATGAGAGAAAATGAGTAAATGAAAAAGAAAGGGATGCAGAAGCAATGCGCTTGCAGCAGGTATACGGTATACATTATGCACTAAAACTGCACTCGAATTTTCAATTAAGTGTCTCGGGATATTTTGCATCTCGAGAAGATAAATTCATTTGAGGACTCGCTGTAAGAAATTAAAATAATTATTTTAGCCAAAGTAAAGACAAATTACTGGTCGATCTGTCATTCTTATAGGTTCCAGGGATATATTACTGTATAAATAAAATTTCGAATTTCGATATGCTGATATCTACACATAAATTTTGTTATGTTTCCTGGTTATACTACCGATCCAAGGATACTGCCGTCCAATAACTTTGATTTATTTAAGAGCATGCTTAATAGCAGTAGTAGCAGCAGAAGCAGGATACATGGTCAGACACACTATCGTCAAACTGTACGCAATTTTTACGATCATATTGGCTTAGTTGTTGGGTTAGTTTACAATGAAATTTTAAGGGACATATAACTGACAAGGTAAAGTATTAAGTCAAAACACGACACGATCAGGGTTCGGTAAGGAACATACAGTTACTAAAGGTTGTCCAGCCTGTCTCAAATTTCTTACCTTAATACCAACCTACGGATATTGGAGTTGGCACATATTACGTAACATATGTGTACCGACTCTCCTATATCCAGAAGTATCCCATATACTGTGGTTCGTATCTAAGGAATATACTACCAATTCCCCATGTCCAAAGTGTCACCCTTACACTTTCAAGAAATGAAAAGTGGGTCGCGCTTGCTGCTTTCACGAACCTCAGGGACTTACCGACAACTGCGAAAAGACAACATACATGGATTACACCGAAGGATCTAGCGATCCAAATGTAATTATAAAAAAGACTTACAGATATTACGTCAATTGAAAATTTGGATCGATAAATTTTTACATCTTAAATAAAATTCACAGGGACATTGATTAATATAAAATACTTAAGTTCTTTTATTTTCTAATTTATCAGGAAAGTGACAACAGGCAATATAGTTTTTCTATTAATTTTTTCTAGCTCATTTATTATCCTTTCAAAATTTCAATACTGTCGTATATATACGCTGTAATTCAGTGCCCGCGCATAACTGGTCATTGCCACTATGATTTCATGCGGCAGCCATTGTTCCGTTGTATAAATGTGTACTTGGCCGTTATCACTGCCTTTATCTATTGAATATGCATAAGCGTCACAGGTGGATGTACCAGTATAATTAATTGTACAAAAGTTAATTATTAATGCCCGGACAAAGGAGCTTGTCATTCGTCCTAGTGGGGCGTCGGGACGCTTTAAGACACAATTCTCCTTTCTCACGATCCCCGTCGTGTTCTCGTTAATTCTTTCAGCCCTTGACTATACGTACATCTGCATTCTTTTACTCGTGACTTTTTTTTTCACCCTTCGGGATCCATTGTACCTCGCTTACCGTTCGAGCATCAACCGATGACCCTTTTCTTGCGAACTTTAATAACGTCCCTGAAGAAAGTTTATGGCTGTCCGAGGGACAAAAAAAATTGTCATTGTCAAACCCTTCCCAGAGACGGTAAATGTATATGCCAAAATTCATTTGTGAGAAATAAATGTTTAGCGACTCTAAGAGAGAAAAAGTTATATTCGTCCCTTTCGTTCTGATGAATTATAGTTCTATAAGATGAACCTCCTAGGAGTACTAATTAAAGTAATTAGCTGATAACGAAAAGAGATACGTACGAATGCAGCTACAGTGTTGACTGCGAATGCCGAGTTTGTAGCAATGTAAAACATTTATTAGGATTTTATGGCTATGTACATCCTGGAATTCCACACTATTCTACTGTACCTGTCTGGAAAGTACATTGGCAAATATGCATAACGCAAAAGCTTTTATTTTTAATATATTAAATTTTTTTTTTTTTCAAAATTTTCCTTTCAATTTTTCCCTCTTCCCAGGTCCATATTCGATGATTCAAATTATGTATCGTCAATTTCCGTCAGCACTGCACTAATAATTTTAAGGATACCCGAACGGTTTAATTCCTCGTTGAGCAGCGAAAGGACTGAACGTTACGAAAATTGATAGCAAATCCGTTTAGCGGTAGCGGAGTATGTATACAGGTCGGCAGGCATAACGCAAGGAATACTAATCCTGAAAGGGCGTTAGGCGTAAGGGCTGCAGACGCTATTAAGTTTGAGAAACGAGGAGTGACGGGAAAGCGTGTACCCCGGGCGTCTCCGCGGCGCTTTCACCCACCTAGGAAGGGCTTACCAGATGCGTTGATGGATTGAGCTTTTTGAATTCAAATCGAACAATTTTCTTGGCCGCGTTGCTATTGGCCAATGATATGGAATCGCGCGATTCCCACTTTTTGTAGAAGGTCGAAACTTACGCCGTGGACGATGACTGGGAGTCGACCGGGAAATGCGTATAAATTGGCGCTTTCTACTAACGACTATTCGACGGCTATGATTCCGGCCATCACGTGGATCTCGTTGGTAACGGAAAAGAAAAAAGTTTCCGCGTTCACGTCCTACGTTAAGTTGCCCTATCGAAAAGGACAGTTACATCTAATGGGTAACCCGCATTATCACAACTTTTTTTTTCTCATTTTACAAATTCACACGTTACCCATCAATAAAAATTGTTTGGTATGCAGATGCATCCAATGCATCTGTATGGAGATAGGGCTGATAGATCTGGGGGTTGATCAGTCGGAAGAAAAATATATAGAAATATAGCTGATAAGACTGTCTTATAAGGTAGGGATAATTTCGTAATACGTAATCAAAATGTAGCACAGCTGTAGTTTGATTCCTAAAAAAATAAGAAAAATTTTAAACCGTGGAACCTTTTGATCTGGCTCCGAGTCCAGGGGAGCCTTTCGTCATTTGCGCACGTTCGGATTAAGATTATAAATTATTTATTATCTATTAACAATTCACCTTCGGATCCCCTTTCTCCTGACAAGAGAATCTCTCCAGGTACGAAATTGTCAAGTGCCAGAACAAACAATGTTTACGTAACGTTGTACTCATATGGTTTGACAATTTGACTTGTGCCCCCCTTCCCGCCCCTCTCATTGAGAAACATAGTGTCCTCTTTCCCCATTTCAACAAGCAGGGCAAAACCACCCCTCGGTCCCATCCATTATTTATGAGCCGTGGGAATTATTGTCTCGTAATACGGATGGCAGGCGCTGAAAATTTCAGGGGATTTGAACGTGCGCGTGCTACTCCAGATTCTCGGGAACCGCCAGGTCTTTTCGGTTCGACTGTTCGTATGATAGTACGCCAATTTGGTATATTCTATACCGAGCGAATTACTTGCCATTAGTTACTTCCACGGAATTATATAAAAGTCTAGTAATTTTCATTAGCCTTTCATGATCAATTATTTCAAATCTTTATTCAAACTTTACAGACCAGTTTATGTATTAGTTATTCATAAAAATGTATAGGAACAATAGTAAACCTAATATACATAAATATATACTGGGTGACGTGATTTTTCGATTCACGGTCACAAGGCGGCTCCGGTTATCGATAGAGACAACGTTCTCGATTTCTGGTTCCCTTCGGGTCGTCACCCTGATCGGAAGCTGCGCTCTCGGGTTGATTCGTATAGTTATGCCAATGCTCTCGGAAGATTACGTTATGGTTTAGTTGAGGTCGAGGTGCTCGAATCTGCCGTGAAGAGATAGTCCCGACGTACCGAGTTGCCCGGCAGAGGAGAGTACCCGACGGAGACGTCTTCACGGACCGGCAGAAGCCCGGGTGAGATACCGGCGCCCCGCTGGAGATGGGCAAAGGGCTGTAGAGCGGGCGGAGGTAGTTTTGATACGGTTAAGGGCAGGAGAGGAACCTCCTGCCCGAGTTAAGGACGT